CTTTAAAATATAATTTATTTCTGTGATGCAAAGCTGAATTTCCAGCAGCCATTACTCTAGTATAAAGTGTCACATGATCCTTCAGAAATCATTCTAATATGCTGATTTATTATCAGTGCTGGAAACTATTTTTTTGGAACCTGTGATACTTTTTTTCAGGATTCTTTGATGAATAAAAAGTTAAAAAGAAGAGCATTTATTTAAAATAGAAATCTTTTCTAACAATATACACTACAGTTCAAATGTTATTTTTTTTGAATGAAATTAAAACTTTTATTCAGCAAGGATGTGTTAAATTTTTAAGTGTAGAAAAGATTTATATTGTTAGAAAAGATTTATATTTTGAATAAATTCTGTTCTTTTTAACTTTTTATTCATCAAAGAATCCTGAAAAAAGTATTGCAGTTTCCAAAAAAACATTTGGCAGCACAACTGTTGCCAACATTGAAAATTCTAATAATAAATCAGCATATTAGAATGATTTCTGAAGGATCGTGTGACACTTTAGACTGGAGTAATAGCTGATGGAAATTCAGCTTTGCATCACAGAAATAAATTATATTTTAAAGGATATTAAAATAGAAACCATTGTTTTATATTGGAATAACATTTTGCAAGATTACTGTTTTTTCTGTATTTTTGATCAAATAAATGCAGCCTTGATGAGCATAAGAGACTTCTTTAAAACACATTACAAGTCTTACTGATCCCAAACTTTTGAGCGGTAGTGTAGATGTCTACAGTTTAGGGCCATAAATGTGATCCCCCTCTTTCTCTGATTCTCCATGCTCGACCTCTTCCAGAATGAAGCTTATGTTGCATTCCGTGAAAACCAGTAAATATAGTTTAGGAATGAAAGAACACCAGGGACATTCATATGTGGGGGTTTACTCCATTTCATTCAGTCAAGTGTTAATTTCCAACTCTTTGCATTAATATAACACGCAGAGGGATGAAGGGGGAGGAAAAGGAGAAGGAGCGGTTCAACCATGACCGAGCCCTTCTCAATGTCACGAGGGACTCTGTGCTACCCTCTCACTCTGCAACACCTGGACCAATCACTTGGGCGTTACCACGGGCGACGAACAATCCAGAGACTATTGGCTGACACCTAAAACTCTTGTCCAATCCCTGCCTGTGTTTCAACCCAGCATCCCACTGTCTTCCCCACCCTCCCCTGATGCTCTACGCAGACAGAGCACATGAGTCATAGGGAGAAAACCTGACTTGCACGGCTTCATCCACCGCCAGCTTCCACATAGGCAGTCATTGAGCAATTTGATTTGACTTGATGTAAAATCAAATGTAGTACATTCAGTAGATATTTATCATTCAAGAAGAAAATGTTAATGTTGTTTGCCTGTGTAAAACTCACTGCTATTATAATAATTAATTAACAATAGGTCTTATATAGACAGGTGTGTGGCTTTCCTAATCAAGTCCAATCAGTATAATCAAACACAGCTGGACTCAAATGAAGGTGTAGAACCATCTCAAGGATGATCAGAAGAAATGGACAGCACCTGAGTTAAATATATGAGTGTCACAGCAAAGGGTCTGAATACTTAGGACCATGTGATATTTCAGTTTTTCTTTTTTAATAAATCTGCAAAAATGTCAACAATTCTGTGTTTTTCTGTCAATATGGGGTGCTGTGTCTACATTAATGAGGAAAAAAATTAACTTAAATGATTTTAGCAAATGGCTGCAATATAACAAAGAGTGACAAATTTAAGGGGGTCTGAATAAGTATGTACCATTATGACAAGACATTTTGAGTGGTTGCCAGGGTGTTGCTATGCAGTTGTTAAAGGGTTAGTTCACCCAAAAATGACAATTCTGTCATTAATTACTCACCCTCGTGTTGTTCCAAACCCGTAAGACCTTCGTTCATCTTTGGAACACAATTTAAGATATTTTGATGAAATCTGAGGGCTCTCTGACCCTCCCATAGACAGCAAGGTAACTACCACATTCAAGGTCCAGAAATGTACCAAGATGATCGACAAAATAGTCCGTGTGACATCAGTGGTTCAACTGTAAAGTTACGAAGCTACGAGAATACTTTTTTGCGCAAAGAAAACAAAAATAACGACTTTATTCCACATTTTCGTCTCTACTGCGTCACTTGTGGACGCATGTTCATGACGGTACCATGACGCGAGTGTGTGGCGGCGCCATCATGCCGGATCTGGGTCAGCGCCGCCACACGCTCGAATCAATGGTACTGTCATGAACACGCTTATTTTTGTTTTCTTTGGCTGTATAGGCTGTAGCCTATTTCCAGCTTAGGCGTGTTCTCCATTTATTTTTAATTTGTATATATATATATATATATATATATATATATATATATATATATATATATATATATATATATATATATACAGTATATATATAATTGTTTTTTTGTTTTTTTGCTGTTTGAATATAGCTTCTAATTACCATTAAAAGGTTTGGGGTTTATTTAATTTAATATTTGTTTATATTTTTGAAAGAAGTCTCTTATGCGCACCAAGGTAGAATTTATTTGATCAAAAATACAGTAAAACTGTAATATTGTGAAATATTATTATATTTTAAATAGATTTTTTTTCTTTTAATATATTTTAAAATGCAATTTATTCCTGTGATCAAAGCTGAATTTTCAGCATCATTGGTCTTCAGTCTTCAGTGTCACACGATCCTTCAAAAATCATTCTGATATGCTGATTTGCTGCTCAAGAAACATTTATTATTATTATCAGTGAAAGTCTGTGTTAAAAGAGCCGACTGCTGTAACGTTAGCCTATATCCAGCTTAGGCTTGTTCTCCATTTATTTTTAATTTGTATATATACTGTTTGAATGACAGCTTGGTAAATTTGTTGGCGATCAAATATTCAATATCGCTACTCATCATAAGTACTTGGTACATTATCAGCGCAGCGCGAGATATTCAAACTAATATCATGTAATTTACATCTCTATGATGATTGGCTGAAGGCCTCCCCAATCATTGGTCTTCAGTCTTCAGTGTCACACGATCCTTCAAAAATCATTCTGATATGCTGATTTGCTGCTCAAGAAACATTTATTATTATTATCAGTGTTGAAAACAATGTTGAAAACTATTTGATAATTTCATGGAAACTGTGATATGTTTTTTATTAGATTCTCCAATGAATAGAGAGTACAAAAGAACAATGTATTTGAAATCGAAATCTTTTATAACCTTATAAATGTCTTTACTGTCACTTTTGATCAATATAATGCATCCTTGCTGAATAAAATCATTAATTTCTTTCAAAAACCCCAAACTTTTGAACGGTAATGTGTTTTACAAAAACGTCGACTTAAAATATGACCACAAGCCATTGTTGGTTGCCTTAGCAAGCACCACTAACAAATCAATATCTTCTAACGAGATGAAAATCTACAGTTATTTTGGTTTTCAGACGCATCTGTTTCATATCTGTTGTAATATTGATGTTAAAAACAGTTTCATTTCCATCTGTACTCTCCAGTGCTTCCATGCATTAATAACTTCCTTTCCTCTCTGCAGTCCAGTTCACATGCATCCATTATACCAGGAGTCCTCTGGGCCGGTCTCACGGTGCATTATGCAGCTGACAGATGTGTGCTCTGCTTCCAGAGACGGTTCGCTCTCCACCCTTCTCTACACTGTGAGAACATAAACAAGGCCACTGGTCTTTTTCCAGAACCATCCGTTCACAATGGGCACAGTCCTGTATCTTTACTCTTCCTGTCACAAGGCTGTTAGGAATGTGAGGGACAAATATCAGCGTAGTGTGGCACTTTACTTTCAGTATTGTATATTAAAGAGAAACATAACCAGCAATCTGCCTGCAGTGCGCGACGACTATAAACACCAATGTTAGCACAGGCAGTAAGTCTCATTTAAATCATGTTTTCCTTTTTTTTTTAAAAAGCCTAGGGCCGCCTCCTCGCAGTTGCTACCGTGAATCACATGACCAGCACTCGTTCCAAATCACTTGCATTACATTTTCAATGCATGGAAAAGATCAGTCAGCACATTATTCAAAATGTCTCCTTTTCTGAATCATAAATCAATAATGACCAAAACTATACGGATTCTTACATGGCTTGCTGGGCTGTTTGGACACATGCAGTGAGACCTCCGTCAGGGGCAGGATATAAACCTCGGGGTCGTTCTGAGAGCTGGGGGAGGCTAAAGTGGAAAGGTCCGCTTGGCCCTCCTCCCCCTCCATATTTTCAAATTCCTGCAGGGAACAAAATCACACAGAGACTTCAAATATTTGTTTTCTATCTCAGTATTTAAAATGCAATTTATTCCTGTGATGCAAAGCAGAATTTTCAGCATCATTACTCCAGTCTTCAGTGTCACATGATCCTTCAGAAATCATTCTGATATGCTGATTTGCTGCTCAAGAAACATTTCTTACGGTTATTGTTGAAACTGATACATTGGTAGGATCCTTTGATGAATAGAAATATTAAAAGAACAGCAATTATTTGAACTATAAACATTATAAATGTCTTTACTGTCATTTTTGTTCAATTTAATGCGTCATCGCTTAATAAAACGAATAATTTCTTTAAGAAAAAATGAAATAAATGGCACAATTCAAACACAAGCAGGAAATTCAGACTGGCATTCTTACATCAGCTCTATTACTTTATGCATACTGTGAAATTAATATGAAATTTTAATGGTCTCTTTTGTCACAGTGTGATGGCAGATGAAAGTCTCTCTTGTGGTATTTTCTCTCTCTGTTATGAATGCTGGATGCCACATTTCGAAAATTGGGCAATCATCTGCTTGGACCCAATAACCTATCCAGCCCCCACAGCTCCACATGGTGGCTCATACTCACACATTGTGACTATTGTTGAGCATCTGTGTTGGGGAATTGCAGTACTGAATCTGTGCCATAACCAGCATGAATTCAATTCCTGTGTTTGATCTGAATTTGGATTGGGGTAGGATGCAGAACTAATTTGAATTTAAAGTAAGTAGTATTATATATTAATAATTAGTATACAAAATAAATTATATTTAATTCAGTAATGTGTTAAGCAGTATGTGTAAAGCACTCAATTAAAATGCCCTTTTACTGTTTTCTTTTTTTTTACTGGTAATTCATACTTGAAAAAACATACATATAATGCACTGTTAAATCACTTAAAAATGTTCACTGTACATGGTAAGGTAATCTACAGTTAATCAGTTCTCCCTATAAAGCCTGCATCATACTGTATCATAGTTGTAGCACAAATATCTTGATCAAAACCTGTAGTGTATGATCCACACGTCTGATTGATTGTTTATACTTTTTAGTAAGTAAAAGGCCTTTAGAGTCATTGGTAAAATGTCCCCCTTGAGGTTGTGGTGTTTGAGGAATATTTAATTGTTCATCTCTCAATCGTCATTGCATTGCATTATACTGTGTTTTACACCTCACAATAAAAACTACAGAGTTTTGGTCATAAAACTAAGCATTTCAATTTCATCTTACTAAGATATATTATATTATATTATTAGGAGATTAAATTGACAACTGATACGTATATGCATTTTATGCAAGTAGTCTGCTATACTTTTATAAAATCTCATTGATTTACATTACAAAGAATTACATACTTTTTGGCCACATATACAGTGGGTACGGAAAGTATTCAGACCCCCTTAAATTTTTCACTCTTTGTTATATTGCAGCCATTTGCTAAAATCATTTAAGTTAATTTTTTTTCCTCATTAATGTACACACAGCACCCCATATTGACAGAAAAACACAGAATTGTTGACATTTTTGCAGATTTATTAAAAAAGAAAAACTGAAATATCACATGGTCCTAAGTATTCAGACCCTTTGCTCAGTATTTAGTAGAAGCACCCTTTTGATCTAATACAGCCATGAGTCTTTTTGGGAAAGATGCAACAAGTTTTTCACACCTGGATTTGGGGATCCTCTGCCATTCCTCCTTGCAGATCCTCTCCAGTTCTGTCAGGTTGGATGGTAAACGTTGGTGGACAGCCATTTTTAGGTCTCTCCAGAGATGCTCAATTGGGCT